AAGAAGAAGAACAACAAGAAGAACAACAAGAAGAGCAGAGACACCAAGATGAACAAGAAGAAAGATAAAAAGAACAAAAAGAACAAGAACAAGAACAAGAACAAAAACAAGAAGAACAAAAACAAGAATAACAAAAGCAAGAAGAACAGGAAGAAAAGGAAGCGGCCTTGCAAAAACGACAGTGTTTCTGGGAACATGTGAAGGCAGAAGAAAGAGAGTCGGACAAAAATAAAGAAGACACAAAGACCACATAACAAAGTGAACAAGCTAAAGTTTTACTACAGAGACCCAATTCCTAGCTAATGATTGGGAAATGTGGAACAGTCTAATACACAGATCATCAAGGTCAACACTTGTGACTTTACCAAGGCTTAGATCTAGATCTAAGGGTGTAGAAACAAAAGAAGAAAAAGAAGAAAAATACAATCGGAATTGTGTAAGACATATATACATGATGTATTACAAAAAAGCCGTCTTAAGCAGGTGGATGTCTTACACAGTTTCATGATAATGTAAACAAAAAGGCACGTGGGGGGAGGGGGGGGGAATGGCCGTTTGTACAGGCGATTGCATTATCTTATACTGGTGGCCGTTAGAGTTGGTTGTTCTGAATTTGATGATTGTTGAAATTGTCATGATTTTTTCCCAGTGTACATTATTCATTTTTTAGATTTATATTAATTTCTTGTATTCGGGCCTTTTCGTATCTAGCCTAGCTATATCTCCGCGTTAAGGAGTAATGTAAATCTATGCGTCGTTCTTCTCTACATCATAAAAAAAAACTTGAGATTGAGGAAGGGAGCGGGTGGTATTCCCACAACTGCCTGCACAGCTTGCAAAATGCTGGTCACTTAAGATATTTTGTGTTGTAGCCTTCAGCTCATCCCTGTAAGCGATAGTCGTTACCCTTCCATCATGGCCGTATCGATCCTTCCAACTGAGCCAACAGTAATTCAATTAGAATCGCCCCGCGCCGATTTGAAATTGGAATCGCTCCGCTAAGCAAAGACATTAGGCGGAAATTCGATCAGAGGCATCCTGGCTGCCATATTTGATTTGCTCTCCCAAAAATGAATTCAGATTTATCGCCGGGCGACCAATCATTTCTCGAATAATTGGGGTCATGGGTCGCGCACTGACTGTCTACCTCGCCAGTTAGAGAGGAGGGCGACCGTTGATTGGTTCAAGTGGGGGGCTGAGGAATGAAATCGAGGCTGCCAATTCAGTTTTTCTTTCCGGTCGATTTACTGTTGCACGAGGAATATTGGCTAGGATTGATGGGGACCGACCATTTGGGCCGTGTTATCCTTTGCAACTTCTCTTTATCCGTACATTATTCTACTTTCTTTTTCTTTTTCTTCCCCAAGCCCCGTGGAGTGAACTTTGGGCTGTGAACATCCCACGGGGTTTTTATAGCGGGTTCTATTTGCAACAGTAATGGAGTAATATCCATATCCCTGGTGGGGGAAAGGAGTAGACATTTCGGGTAGCACTTCATGTCGCTAGAGATGGTGATTTTGCATAAAAGTTTCCCTTTATCCGTCCCTGATTCCGCTCCACTTCTCTCAAATAATCACCCTCCTCCGTCTTCGTGTTTCTCTCGCCTGCCTATCTAGGTCTACTGCTCATTTTGTTTTCTGTATTTCCCCGCCTTTTTTATTTGCTATGTTATTGTTTTTATGCGATTTCCTTGTTTATAACTTTATATCACTCTCGTTTTCCCAGTGTTTTTTCTTTTTCTTGCTTGTTTCTCTCACTTTCTTTCATCCTCACTCTTCCTTTTTCGTTCTCTAATTCTTCTCTCTCTCTCTCTCTCTTTCTCTTTCTCTCTCTCTTTCTTTCTCTCTCTCTCTCTCTCTCTCTCTCTCTCCCTTATCTATCTATTTATCTCTCTCTCTGTCTATCTATCTCTTCTCTTTCTCTCTCTCTCTATTTGTCTTTCTTTCTCTCTCATTATCTCTTTCTATCTCTTTCTCTTCACGTTTCTCTCCCTCTACCTCTCTCGTTCTCTCTCTTTCTCTCTTTCGCCCGTGCACACACATACACACACACATATACACACACACACATACACACACACATACACACACATACACACACATGCACACACATACACACACAAACACACATATGCACATACATACACATACATACATACAAACATACATACATACATACATACATACATACATACATACATACATACATACATACA